GAGGGGAAGGAGCGGAGGAGCGGCGGAGCCGGGAGGAGAAGTGGAGGGGGTAGGAGCGGGGAAGGGGGGAGGAGCAGCGGAGGGGGGAGTTCTCCTCCAAAAATATAGTTCTCCTTATGCAAAGCAAATCTGCAACTTGGATGCATTGGCAATAACATGTTGTTTATTTTTTTGCGTTCCATCTGTCTCGTTGCTTGACAAAAAATATAGGTTTATGCCCAAATGTTTTGTGACAACGGTCAGTGCATGTCCTATGTGATAGCCTTAAAGTCCGTTTTAAAAAAAATCAACGTAAAGTTTTTGACTCAAGTCCAATTTTCACGAAATGTCAACTTTTCACGAAGTGCATGTTTTACAGACATACTCTAGGTAGGGACGTGGAATATTCATTGAATCTGTCAAAGAAAGAATCACATTCTTACAAATCCTATGGATTTCCTCCTTAACCAAACATGTATCGTATCTGATCCTAACAACTAGTCTTGCTGACAACACCAATGTGATTTTTTTTCGAAAAGCATGCGCCAAAATTTATCGTAAAGACCTACGTGATCGCTAATATGTGAAGGAACGAACAACGTTATATCCCGAGATAAAAGTGTCAAGGTCCCAAGTAGTGAGGGATTTTATGGATGAAGGAGAGCTCGGAAATTTATCAAGAGAGACCTTTAGAGGGAGGGACTTTGAGCATAAACGAGAAATGCGACTAAAATTGATGGTTCTACCTGGTATAAACTAACCGCGACAATTACGAAGAAACTTTGTCAGAAGATCACAGCAGGAGGCAAAAGAATAATCAAATAAACGGTGAACCGTCTTCCATCCATCAACGAACAAAGAACCAGATATACAGTTAATGGTAATAGTACTGAAGGAGTAGTCTAGAGCATGTTGAAGTATAGAAACTAGATTAGAACTAGTAACTCCTACCGAAGAATGAAAGACAAAGGGCGAAGAGTCCGTGGGATGGGCGATTGAGAGAGAGGTAGATATCTTGTGTTTAATCCTTTCTTTCTTACCATGTCTCTTTTTCTGACGCGGGTGATGCCGAAGGGAAGAACTAAGAGAGGGAGAGAGAATACGAATGAAGAACTTTTCAGCTTTGTATAAATCCTCTAACGAACATGGCACTTAAATCGGAATCGCAACATATGCATAAAGATCCACACGCCTCAACCAACGGTATAACTTATTACTCTTATGATACTTGTTTCTACCAATGGTATTGCGTGCATGCTCCTTGGAACGAACATCCAAATTATGGTTAGTGCAACCTACATATGTATGCTTGAACCAGGGAGAAAAAATCATATACACAATCGGGGAATCAAATCGTACTTACATCTAATCAAATTTATAATTAGTTGACGAATGCCCAAGCCCCAACGATTCAACGACTCTGTTGCCAAAGAATCAAAAGAATCACAATCGTACATAAGGTACATCCAATAGAGTTTGACACATTATTACCACACCTTTCCCGAAAATCACGACAGACAAGAGCAGAGGACCACAAATCCGTTGCACTCAGGGTGCGTCCTCACTCTTCTTCGTTGGGTCCTTCTTCCGTGGAAGTGGCCTATTGAGCATCATCATCATTTAATTTTTCCATTCCGGTCTTGTCCTCTTCTACGTGACCTCGTTGGCCGCGGATCCTGCGGCCTCGGCCGCGGCCTAGGAGGCCGGTCGTGGGCCTGCGGCCGAGCCACGCCTAGGTGGGGGCGCGCGCTCAAAATCGGTGCTCGCGCTCGGCCTGCGCACGTCGGCCGCTATCGGCCTGTACAAAAAAAAAAAAAATTCAAAAATTTGGGGGGGTGGTTTTTTATGTGTGACGAAAAAAAGAAAAAAAAAATGCTTGATTGATTGTTTTTTATTGACTGATTGATTGATTGATTGATTGTTTGATTGATTGTTTGATTGATTGACTGATTGATTGGGATTGGTTGATTGATTGATTGATTGACTGATTGATTGGTGGGGGAGCGGTCCTCCCTCCCCTCCCCCCGGCACACACACACACACACACACACAGCGGAACGCATGTACACACACACAAACACACACACACACACAATCAATCAATCAATCAACCAAACCAATCAAGATCCTAACGAATAGATAGGATCTTGATTGGTTTGGTTGATTGATTGATTGATTGATTGATTTGATTGATTGATTGATTGATTGATTGATTGATTGATTGATTGATTGATTGATTGATT